TCAGATTTTCATGGGTCGGAATTGCTGGAGTAAAGATACCTTATGTCGTTGCATAAGATCTGGTGTATTCTTTTTGAGGTTGCTAAAGTTTAAAAAGTTTGGTTCTTTTTAAGAGCAATCGTTATTTACCAGATGATAAACAATTCATTAAAAATAGATTTTTAAGGATCTACATTTTGTAATTGATAAATCACTCATGCTTAAAGAGTTGGCCTTGATTCTGTTCTCCTTGAGAATGTGGGATGTTTTATAAACACATTAAGAGTTACAAATAGACTAGGGAAGGAAGAAATTATTTCATTGTCAATAATGAGATGATATAATTTTGTGTATACATAAAATTTCAATCAAAGCACTCTAATAAAAACTAAAAAGCCTGTTAGAGTGAGATCCATATTAAGAATGGTCTCTAAGTAACATGGCTGCTTTGTTGTAGCATATTTGGGTTCTACTCTGAGTTAAAGGCCCATTTTGCTTCTGTTATCTCATTTGTCTTCCAAGTTCTGGCAATTGAATTAGAGTTTTAGAACAAGTAGGAGCTCCAATGAATGGGTTGTCCCTGTTATAAGGTGGTCACTACCTGCTAACTGAAAATTGCAAGTCTTATCTTGAGCGTGAAAGAAACGTGGAGCCACAATTTAAAGTAAATAGGCACAACTTTCTGCGTGGATACGGGAAATCAGTCTTCCTGTGGTCTTAACAAGAGCTGGACCAAGATATCTGGGTCACCCAGAGACATTAATCAGATTATACTTGTTCAAAGCGTTTTGAGGGAAGGGTGGGAAAAAAATCAATCTTTGCTAATAAAATTTTTTTTCAGGAAGAAATTCAATTATGATTTTTCTTCTGAAGTAGAATCAGTGTTTGGAAAAACTATAGACAGCCTATTTCCCACTTTTCTGCAGTCCTCTTCTCAATTTTCTATTGTGAGTTTTCTGACTTGGGAGGCATTTTTCGGTTGATGTAAAATGCAAACTGACATGTCTTCCACTCTTCTCCTCTGGCCACGTTCCCTTTCCAAAGGCAATGAATGTGGTCAGTTTCATGTGCATCTTCTCTGGCATGCGGAAGTGTTTTGTCTCCAATCACTTCCTCTTAAGCTATTATATTAAAAGGTTCAATCAAGTTAATCACTTCTTTTAGTAAATCACACAAACACTCTGTATTCCCTTTTCAGAATTTATCGCAGCTTCCTCACTTCCAGGTGCTGAGTGTCACACCCATCACAAAACATGTTTAGGAGTGTTGTTTTTTTCCCACTTGAGGGCACTGCCTATTTTCATCATAATGTGATCAGTTTATGATTTGGGAGTTGATTGCAGTGGCATTTTTACATCTGTTATACATAAGTGCCCAAATACTTGTCTGGCTCTTCTGCCTCTTTATCCAGCTCTGGTCACCTTCTGTATCTTAAAGGTGAAAAGATCCCAGCAGTAAACTGTATTAGTGCATTTTCACACTGCTATAAAGAAACAGCCTGAGACTGAGTAATTTATAAACAAAAGAAGTTTAATTGACTTCCAGTTTCACATGGTTGGGAGGCCTAGGGAAACTTACAATCATGGTAGAAGGTGAAGGGGAAGCAAGGCACGTCTTACATGGTGGCAGGAGAGAAAGAGAGAGAAGGGGGATGCACCATACACTTACCTAACAACCAGATCTCACTCAGTCATTATCACGAGAACAGCAAGAGGGGAATCTGCCTCCATGATCCAATCACCTCCCACCAGATCCCTCCCTTGACAAGTGGGGACTTCAATTCAATATGAGATTTAGGTGGGGACACAGAGCCAAACCATATCCATAACCAACTCTGGTTTCAGGCTGAGCACCCTGAAACAGCAGTGCTCATTTATTCTGAGAGTAGAGCTCCTATTTCTGAGACTCCTCAGAGTGGGACCCTTGCAGTGGCTTTGCTGCAGTTCTTCTGGCTGATGGGGCCCTGTTGGAGTTTGCCTTTTGTTTTCTATACAGAACACACTTCTGCTCCCCTGCACTGTGGCTATTTCCCAATTTCTCCTTGCTTCTCAAATCTGTCAGCCCTCGTCGTGCCTGTCTCATTAACTTCACTTCGACCTCATAGTTGTAGAGGGAACATTCCCATCTTCCTGTGACCAGGTAGACAAACCTGCCTGTATCTGCTCCCATTCACTCCTCTTTCCTTCTGTTGTTCCACTTCTATCTTTTGCCACATGCATCTCTCCTTTTTATGGATAATCAGTAAAATGAGGGAGATTCTGTCTAGAAGCCTCATCTTCAAACAAAACACACCACAATCCCAGCACTTTGGGAGGCTAAGGCAGGTAGATCACCCGAGGTCAGGAGTTTGAGACCAGCCTAGCCCCTCTACTAAAAATACAAAAATTAGCTGGGTGTAGTGGTGTGTATCTGTAATCCCAGCTACTCAGAAGGCTGAGGTAGGAGAGTCGCTTGAACTTGGGAGGCAGAGGTTGCAGTGAGCTGGGATTGTGCCACTGCCCTCCAGCCTAGGAGACAGAACAAGATTCCATTTCAAAAAAAAAAAAGATCAAGTCAGATCATTTATCTTCTTTGCGTTTTAAACCCATTCAGGCTGGACATGGTGGCTTACACCTATAATCCCAGCACTTTGGCAGGCTGAGGCAGGAGGATCACTCGAGTCTAGGAGTTCAAGACCAGCCTGGATCTTGTCTGTACAATAAATAAATAAGTAGACCCATTCAAAGACTCCCCTTTGCACTTTAGATAAAACCCATTTTCCATATGCTGCTTTCCAGCTCCAGCAGGGCACTTGTGTCTTCACCTCCTGCCTCACTTCTAGCCACTCACACCCTTGCCCACTCTTCTGTGGCCACAGTTTTTCCTCCAGTTACCCAAATGCATGAAATTCTCTCCACTCCTGTGCCACTTTCTTGGCATTTTTCTCTGGAGGTCTCACTCTACAGCCCCTGGAGTAGCTGTACTTTCTCATCCTCTTTATCTCATTGCCACCTCCTCAGGGGGTCTTCATCAGGAAGTCCATGAAGGTCCCTGGCCCCACAATCATGTTTGTTCCTGCATAAGACTTCATGACTTGTTAATATTTACGTGTTTCATACCCAGACAGTTTCTAAGCCCTGTAAGGGCAAGGGCCATGTCTGCTTTGCTCCCCGCTGGGCACATGATAGGGTACCTGGCACATAATAGGCATTCATTTCAGGGCCATTTGCTGAGATATGTGAATGAGTGAATGAAGGCTGGCATGCAGCTCAGCTCGGGTTTGTCTTTTCCTTTAGGACACAGAGCCAACCTCTCTGTGTGCTCCATGCCCCTTTAGAGCCACAACGTTGTGGAGATTGAGGAGATCTTGGAGGGCTTCTCCCTCACATTTTCACCATTCAGGCTCCATCTCCCATCCTCCTGCATTTCAGAACAGCTCAGGCTCAGCCTTGGGTTCAGGGGTCTTTTGCTGTTAGTCTCGGCTTGTCAAGGGATGCACCTATTTTGCTTTCCTCCCATCCCCTTTGGGAGCGGGATTATGGTGCAGTGGCGTAGGGTATCTGGAGCCAGACTACAGGGGTCTGAATCCTGGCTTACTGGTGGTGTGACCTTGGACAAGCTACTTAATTTCTGTGTGCCTCGGTTTCCTCACATGTCAAATGGGGTTAATGACCACATGCAGCTGTGACAGTGATTCAGTGAGTAAATGTACTTAAGGCACTTTTCATGAAGATAGCACGTGTTGGCCATCCGCCTCTCTCCCCTCTGCCTTCTTCTTGTGAACTCCAGGCGTTGTAGTCATTTCAGGCTCTCCCCAGCACCCACGCAGTGAGAATAGTCAGCTACTCTCTGCAGTCCCTTTAGCTTATTCCCTTTCTCACTCTTATTTTCTCCTTTTCCCCTTTTTTTAATTCGGTGTTTATTTTAAAAATCTTTTGGGGGTCACAGGCTCTTTTGAGGATTTAAAGAAGAGTCCTTATGGACCGTTGCCTTAGAAAAACTCAATATTTGTGCAGTAACCCAAAATGAGCACACAATTCAGATATCCACAGATGCCTTGGAATCTCTCTGCGGCCCCCTGGACAGAGCTGTTACAAACAGCTGCATCTCTGTGGTCTTCTTTGGTGCTGTGGGCCGAAGGGATTCCACTCGGAGAACTAGAACCGTCCCTTCATGAGTATCCAGGAAACAAACCTCAGAATACAGCTAGAAAAGTCTCTTTTCAGAAGGTGAAATCATGATACCATTTCTGTGTGTATTCAACATGATACTAAACTGGTATATGCATAAAGTGATTACTTATATCTTATAATACAACTTGATTGCTGCTCATTTGGGACATATGGGAATGCCAGGCTAGTTTAAGTGAGGAAAAATTTGAATTAATCAAATATATGTCTGTGTGTGTGTTTTAAGCCCAGTTTCTTCTCAAGTTTTAAGGTAAGAAGACATGATATATGTGTGCCAATGGGGATAATAACAGCCAACTGTTTTCTAGATAGATGTTCTTTTGGACATAGTTTTATACATATGTGTAAAGTATAAATAAGTACAAATAAGTTATTATAAGGTAAAATAAGCATTTATTGTGGCAGTATTCATTACCAGTGTACAAAAAGTGCTGCAGAAATAGTCTGGGTAACAATATATTCCTTGAAGGGGGTTAAATATTCCTTCAGCAAATATGCTCACTTTCTAAATTGGTTAGTAAACTGTTTTATAGAGGGGGTACCAAGGTATGCTTAATGCTGGTTGTGGATTAGAGGGTCAAAATAGACATGGTTGAAAAATTAAGATAAAAACAAAGAAGGAAATCATGATGGTTTATTGTGATGATTGTTTCTGGGCTGGGCTGTCACTGAACAAACAAGGGCTCCCTGACCCCCTGGGCTGACTGCATTGTGCGGCCTGGTAGGTGATGGAGGTCTTGGCCACATTGACCCGAAAGCAGTGTCTGTGAAAGATTGCTCAAAGCTTCCATGTTCCCAGGGCTTAGGAATGCTCCGTCTTAAACAGTGTTTTTAAAATTATATTTTCTCCAGGATTAAAATCACCAACGGAACCTTCCAAGGAGACCAACTGAGTGGAAATAACCTTCAGTAACTGCTAATGGGAGTTGGATTTAAAACCGTCAGCTTAAAATAAAAAAGCTCATGTCTCCTGAACTGTTATCCAGCCGGGTAAATTGTTTTTTAGTGTGGAATTATGTACACTTAAATCATGGTGTATGCATGTGGTCAGCGCTGCTTTTCTTTTAAGTGGGCTTGTTTATTTAAAAGACTCGAAAATGAGAAGTTGTTTTGCTTACTCAGTTGGGGTTTATTGTAAAACTCGATGCCAGAAAAAGAAAAACGTATTGTTTTTATGCTGCGAGTGTGTGAAGCGTGTCCTTCCCAGAGAAAGGACAGTCATGGTGTTTTTTTTTTTTTTCTGTGTCCAAAGAAGGAAAGCTCTCAGGGCCAGCAGGAGGCTTTGTGAGGGATCTGGGGTTATGAATGCCAATCACGCACTGACCAGTGGTTTCAAAAACAGGAATACCCAGCGTACGTTTTTACTTTTATTCCTTTGCAGTAATTAAAATAATACTAAAATGCAACAAGAGCTGGAGAGCAAAGTGGGAATTGTTCATGTTGGTAGGTGATGTTCATTATGAAAAGGGTCAGTTTGATAGCCATGTCAGAGGAGCTGTAGCTTCACCCTGCTCTGCGCTGTGGAGTGTCACGAGTGAAGGTTTTGCTCGGACTGCTACGGGTTGTCCAAGTAGCATCAGAGCAGCTGAGCAAGTCTCGAGATCCCATGTGGTACATCCAGCCAACACCCATGGAGTCATAGACCCGTCGCCCAGAAAGGCCCTTCCCTGGAGGCTGAGCCTCGTCTTAATCTGCAAATGAGGGAAGGGGGAGAGGTCTAGAGAGGCAACATGACTTGTGTGAGATCACACAGTTGATCTGTGACAGGCATACACAATTTTCTTCAAAAGTGAGACTGTAATCACACCAAAAATCTTAGAACATTATCCTAATCCGCCACAGTTTATTTTTTTAATTTTTTATTTTATTTGTCTTTTGAGACAGGGTCTCCCTCTGTTGCCCAGGCTGGAATGCAGTGGTGCAGTCATGGCTGACTGCAACCTCTGTTTCACAGGTTCAAGTGATCCTCCTGCCTCAGCCTCCCAAGTAGTTGGGACACCATGTGCACACCACCATGCCCAACTAATTTTTGTATTTTTTGTAGTATTTTGTATTTTTTGTAGAAATGGTATTTCACCATGTTGCCAAGGCTGGTCTCAAACTCCTGAGCTTAAGCCATCTGCCCACCAATGCCTCCCAAAGTACTGGGATTACAGGCGTGAGCCACTGTGACCCGCCGGTTTATTTTTTTAACTGTGATTTAAATCCTTCTAAGTGCAGCCCAGTTATCCTCTCAGGAATCTTTCTAGGCTTCTCACCCCCTCAGGTTGGGTTCACTTGTCGTTTGTTTTATTCTCCTTTGCACTTTTTAGAAATGGAGTAACTACGAGAAATAGTAATCGTCCCTCCTGTTTTTGCAATCAGTTGATTTTTACCGAACACTCTGAAAGCGCTGTTTTAATTGTTTTGGTGAACCTGGCCTGTGGAGTTATCAGGTGGTGACGATAGGTTTGAGCTTAGAGTCTGTGGGCATTTCAGTTCTCTGACAGTGGAAAGCTGTTCTGAGCCGGGTTGACACAAGTGAAGAAACCTGCACTGTTGGCCAGATGCAGTGGCTCACACCTAAAATCCGAGCAATCTGGGAGGCCAAGGCGAGGGGATCACCAGGTCAAGAGATCAAGACCATCCTGGCCAACCTGGTGAAACCCTGTCTCTACTAAAAAAACAAACAAACAAACAAAAAAACTAGCTGGGCATGGTGGTACCTGCCTGTAATCCCAGCTACTCAGGATGCTGAGGCAGGAGACTAGCTTGAACCAGGGAATCAGAGGTTGCAGTGAGCCAAGATCATGCCACCGCACTCCAGCCTGGCGGCAGAGCAAGACTCCATCTAAAAAAAAAAACCACAAAAACCTGCACTCTTAATGTCAGGTTGATGACCACCTGGAGAAAAACTGGCCCTTTGTTCTACTAGTGGCTAAAACATTATAGGAATGAGAATGAATAACCTGTGTGGACCCTAAAGTGCATTACCTGGATAAACAGAAACAACTTGGACAAGAACCTGAGATTAGTGAGATTCCAGGCTTTTTTTTTTTTTTTTTTTTGGAGACAGGATCTCACTTTGCTATCCAGGCTGGAGTACAGTGGTGCAGTCATAGCTCACTGCAGACTGAAATCTCTGGGCTCAAGTGATCCTCCTCCCTCAGCCTCCTGAGTAGCTGGGACCCAGGGTGTAAGCCACTTTTTACATTTAATTTTTCTATTAAAATATGTCTATTAAATATGCCTATTTCTATTAAAAATAAGCATACAAACACATAGAGAAAACAAGATTTTGAACATCTGTATACCCACCAGTCAGCCTAATTAAAATCTTTTTGATATTTTCTATTTCTAGCCTAGCTGGAGGCCACAGTTATGAATTGGGTGTGTATCACTCTTGAGGTTCTAGATTTAACTCTTTGGGGCCTCCCTCAGTGCCAGGGCCTGTGTTTAATGGGACGGGAGCGGCATCTTGCAGCGGTAAAACTGTAGGTTTGGAACTGTTGTGAGACCACTGTAATGATTTGAAATGTGTCAGTGAGATGGGTCTGCAGAGAGCCGAAGTGTCTCATACCCTCGATTCCTGACGAGTTGGGATTTCCCCACGGGATGAGAAAGTATGGTGGTCACTGAAGGTCACTCATCAAGGTAAACCTCAGACAGACAGTTTGAAGAAATGTATGGTTTAGGAGTAGTGCTTTTCAAACTTTTTTTATTGTAACGCAACTTAAGCAAATTTTCTATTGTGACTCTGGACACATACATGCCACCATACACACACACACACACACACACACACACACCTCTGAATGAGAAGTTTTAAGAAAAGATTATTATAATTTATTTCAGCTGCCTTGCAATAACATGTATTTTGTTTTGTTGTTTTTACAAAAGCTATTTTTTCCAGTAAATTGATTTCACATACCATTAGTAGATAGTCACCCACAGTTTAAAAAAATGAACCAAACCAACCTGATTTAGTGAACTGTTACTTGTTTCATGGAGCAAAAATTTCTAAAAGGTATATACTCTGTTGAGTATTTTTATAAAAAGCTTTTCCCTACAACCGACCTCAGCTTAAAGATCTATGCCACAACTTACTAATAATGAATCCCATGTAAAACTAAGCAGAATTCACAACTCTTTGGGGGTTCAGGTTATTATGTCATGAGACTTCTCCTTAAAGCTCCTAACCCTCCTCAGCCATTGCTTTAATGCAGCCTGACTAGATTAAGTAAACAGAACTTGAACACAATGACTTAACTATACTTTATATATTCACGATTGTTAAGGCACAAAATCAATCTTTCCAAATAAAACTGAGTGTAAGTCAAACTGCCAAGTGAGAAAGAGCAGCTATGGAGCTCTCAGCTCTCCCTTTTGTCATAGTTTATCTCTGTACAACGTCAGATAAGGGCCAGATGAGGAACAAAGTGATGGTGGCTATTGCTTTATACTCATTATATCTCATGTGTTTTTGTGGGACCAGACCACCATCCTGCTCACCCGAGATGCCTGATAATGATCACCCTAGCAGGGGGTTATAAGGCACCTTTGTTCATAAGAAGTTTATAGAACTGGACTCAGAAAGGTACAGCTTTCCCTCCAGGGAAGCAAAGGAGAAAATTATATTTAATGCATATTAAACAAATAGTTGTTGGATATTATGAGCTAGATTGATCCCAAGATCCCAAAATGCTTGAGTCAGCTTGCTCCAAAATGTTACCAGCCAGCCACTTTAAACATTAATGAGGTAGCTGGTTTCTAAAATCTGGAAGGAGGGGGAGGTTTTGTTTAAGCCAACTATTTCACAGAAGGGGAAATACAGTTCTACCTCAGGAAATTTAAATGAGACTGTTGAATAATTGGGAAAGAACCTCTCCTGTGGATGACAGGGCAAAGAAGAATTCAGCTGTTTTTAGGCCAAATATCAAATGCGACAGCTGTGCTTTTTTGTGTATGTATTTGTGTATGTGATGGTGTATAATTTCTAGAAAAGCAGTTCTCAGGGATTTGGGACATGAAAATTTCCACTTTTAAAAATTATTGAGAATGCCAATGAACTCTCGCTTACGTGGGCTGTATCTCTCAAGTTTTACCACATAAAAAATTGAAACTAATAAATTTAAAAATATTTATTGATTTATAAAAGTGAACCTATGCTATATTAACATAAAATATTTTTATTGAAAGCATCGTTTTCAAAAAGTTATTGAGAACAGTATTGTTTTATATTTCTGCAGATCCCGTCACTACGACACACTTGGAGAGCCGCTGTCCTGAAAAGTAGTTGGGAAGACTATGTTGAGAGTGGCTGCCCAGGAGTGGTGAGATTATTCACGATCCTGCTTTTTTTTCTTTTCATTAGTATTTATTTTCTACAAGAAGATGGGATTACTTGTGCAAAGTAAAAATGAGAAAGAAAGAACATACTCATGTTGAGGAAAGATTATTGCGGCCCTGGAAAAACCCAGGCAGAGGAGTTTACACTTGGGAGACCAAGGAACCACTGCCATTTCTTAAGTGGGAAAATGAGCTGTATTTGGGAGTAAGTGGATTAGAATTGAGAGAGAGAAGGAAAAGTGCTACTTCAGAGGAGTGGTGTGGTGGGTCAGACCTCAGGTGTCGGTGGAAATGGAGAGACAGGGACAAACTCTAAAGACTTTGAAGGCAGAATGACCTGAGACCTGGGGAGAGGGAATAAAGGAGAGGGCAGAGACAAAGACAGCAGTTTTCAAATTAAAACATTTGAAGAATGTTTTTTCCGTTCTATCCAACTTTGGGGCTTGGTTCTGTTGCACAGGTGAGAGTGCAGTGACACAGCCTCGACCTCCTGGGCTCGAGTGATTCTCCTGCCTGAGCGTCTGGAGGAGCTGGGACTGCAGGTGTGAGTCACTTCTTTCTGAACGTTCCCCTGATTAAGCTGATCGAAGTCTTGTGTTTTCCAGAGTTGGCCATCCCATTCAAGGGCTTAGGAGACAGTCTACGCACTTCCCAAGTTGAATTGGTCCCAGCTGCTCCCAGGAGAACGAGTGAATTGGTCCCTATGCCACCCCTGGAGAGCCGCTCGCTGCCCACTTGGCCGTGAAGGGCTGTGCGGTTCCCCTGCGCGCCAGAGCCTGCCGTGGCCTCTTATGCACTCCACCACCCCCATCAGCTCCCTCTTCTCCTTCACCAGCCCCGCAGTGAAGCGACTGCTAGGCTGGAAGCAAGGAGATGAAGAGGAAAAGTGGGCGGAGAAGGCGGTGGACTCTCTAGTGAAGAAGCTGAAGAAGAAGAAGGGAGCCATGGACGAGCTGGAGAGGGCGCTCAGCTGCCCGGGCCAGCCCAGCAAGTGCGTCACGATTCCGCGCTCCTTGGACGGGCGGCTGCAGGTGTCCCACCGCAAGGGGCTGCCCCATGTGATTTACTGCCGCGTGTGGCGCTGGCCGGATCTGCAGTCCCACCACGAGCTGAAGCCACTGGAGTGCTGTGAGTTCCCGTTTGGTTCCAAGCAGAAAGAGGTGTGCGTCAACCCTTACCACTACCGCCGCGTGGAGACTCCAGGTGGGCTGTCCTTACCGCGTCGGGGTTTATCTTCAGAGTGAAGGTCCTGTGCCCCATTGATGGAGAACAATGGGGCACCAGCAGACAAAGACGTCTCCCGAAAGAGAGACGAGAGAGAGAGAGAGAGAAGAGAGACAGAGAGATAGAGAGAGAGAGAGAGAGAGAGAGAGGGAGAGGGGAGGGGGGGGGGAGAGAGAGAGAGAGAGAGGGAGAGGGAGAGGGAGAGAGGAGGGGGGGAGAGAGAGAGAAAGAGAAGAAAAAGAGAAAGAGAGGGAGGTTCAGTTTTGAGGGACTGGTCCAAAATTTTGTTTCCTGGAATGAGGCAAATGTCCAATCAAAGAAGGTTCCCGTGAAAACAGTATTCCTGCCTGGAATGCCACAGGAACTCAATCCAAAGGGAACAGAAGTAAAACCCTGTTATAGCCAGTGTGAAGGAATGAAGATAAACTCCAGACTAGTGGGAAAAATCTAGAAAGAAGGTATTTTCGTTTGATTCCAATATGCATGTAAGCTTTGTGTGATTTTGAAAATGAGGCAGATGGCTAATCAAAGAGAAAACTCCCATAAAAGTTTTATTTGGAGGTATCTGGGACAAGTCAATAGAATCTTTTACCAGTTTTTGGGGTCCTAAAAGGTTTTAAAATGGCCTCGATAATGATGAGCTAGAAAAAAGAAGTATCTTCCACCCGCCCCCCGCTTCCACCAAGAACTGAACTGAACTGCACTAAACTGAACTGAAGCTGGTGTGCTAGCTGCTACTTTGTTCAAGTTCAGGTAACTAGAAGGTGTTTCATATCTGGGTCTGAAAACAGCCAATGAAAGAGTTGCTGGACATCATTCCAGGCAGTTATTTTTTTAAAATGGTTTTAAATACAGACAGGTATCACTTAATGATGGGAATGCATTCTGAGAAATGCATCAGTAGGCAGTTTCTTCCTTGTGCGAACATCCTGGTGTGCACTTACACAAACCTAGATGTGATAGCCTGCTACACTCTTAGGCTATATGGCGGAGCCTGTTGCTCCTAAGCTACTAGCCTGCACAGCATGTTACTGTACTGAATACTGTAGGCAATCCTAACCACAGTGGTACTGAATATATCTGAACAGATCTAAACGTAGAAGAGGTACAGTAAAAGTACAGTATCATAATCTTAGGGGACCACTGTGTTACATGTGGTCCCTTAACCAAAACGTGATTATGCAGTACATGACTGTACAGGAAAGTACCTTTCTAAAACCCCTCATGCTCCAGTATGTGTACCTGTAAATGTGTATATCCCCCCTCCTCTTGAAGCCTGGTGTTTATTTTTGTTCCTTCACACTGGCTCTAACAGGGTTTCAGTGCGATTCTCTTTGAATGTTTCTGTAGCATTCCACACAGGAACACAGTTTTAGGAGAGCTTTTTCTCTTTGATTGGCCATCTGCCTTATCCCAGGAAACCAAAGCACTGACATGTGAGCTCAGAGAAATTGCCCATGTCCAATGAAGAGATGATCCTGTCTAGCTAGGTAGGCAGGGTCAGTTTACCTTAAAACAGTATCCAGAAAGTGATTCATGCCCAGCCTACCTCAGTCACAGCTAAGTAATCTTTCAAGCTTGCAGAACTTAAGGAAGTCATCTACCTGTGTGTGGATGCCACCCACAGCGCATTCAGGGACTGAGGCCCTGGCTGAGAAGGTATTAGATGGTTCCACACGCTTGGCAAATCTGATGTGTTTTCTCTAAATCCTGGAGCGAGTTGCTTTCCTCCTTTCTTCTCTGCTTCACTTTGACTCTTTGCTTACTTAAAAAAAAGTCAATAATGTCTAAGCTTATAGCAAAAAGGACTTGATTCCATTTTGTGTTTCAAAGATTTGAGTTACATTAAGCATCCAAAAGATACCCAAATGGAAAAATGTTCATTAAGAAATTATTTCTCTCTCCCTGAATAACATAATTGTAAAATGTAACAACATGTAGGAAATATCTTGTAAAATGTATCTGGTTTTCCTTTTGAATATTCAAAAGCCTATTTTTGAAGAACTGTTTGACATTTTAGTTTTTCTTTCTTTCTTTTTTTTTTTTTAAACAGAGTCTCACTCTGTCACTAGGCAGAAGTGGTGAGATCTCGACTCACTGCAACCTCCACCTCCCAGGTTCAAGCGGGACTATAGGTGCCTCAGCCTCCCGAGTAGCCGGGACTATAGGTGCATGCCACCATTTTTAGTAGAGACGGAATTTCACCACGTTGGCCAGGATGGTCTCAATCACTTGACCTCGTGATCTGCCTGCTTCGGTCTCTCAAAGTGCTGGGATTACAGGCACGAGCCACTGCGCCCGGCCCTTAGTTTTTCATGTTCCGTAAGGAATGATAGTTTGAATGTTTTACATATGGTAGATAGATTTCATTTTATTGTAATTTAGGTGTGAATTTCCGGAAGGAAAGATGAGTAAAGATTATATTAATTTAAGGTAATATTTAAGTTACAGAGGTTTTTCTTACGCTTAACTTTGGTTTTTTTAATAGAAAAGGTAGATTTCCTGTCCAGCTAGATATCCATAAAATAAATATTTTAAGAATAATAAAACGTTAATGTTAAACAAGTTTGCTGAGTTTCTATTTATCATAAAGCTTAAGTTTTGCCTTTGAAATCTCATTTTTTGGCCATTCATTTAGATGCATTGAAGGCTGCATTTCCATTTTCTTTTCATTGACACATCCACTTCAGTAATCAATTTCAATGCTTTCCAAGTTATGTGTGGTGAGGGACAGTTTTTATTTTTTAAATTCCTAGTCCTTCAACTGAGTACTTTTATAATACAGATGAATTACTAAGCAAATAAAATTCTAAAAAGACTTAGAAAATACAAGCCCAGCTTTAAAAATTATTTATTTCAACAAATAGAACCTCTGTCACATTGCTGTGAAAAGTTTCTAAGCACTAACTTCTTCACAGACTGGTACCCAGCAGTTGGTGAAGGGTTCCCCAGTCCTCAGACCACACTGCACCTGGCACGGTTCTGGTGGAAGCTTCTGGTGGAAGCTGTGATACGTGATAATTCTACTCCATTTGCCCTGATGTTATTTCAGGAGTATAACTTCTCCTTTACATAAAATATTCATATTATATCACAGTCACATGACTTAAAAAAAAAGACAAAAGTGTTTTTTTTCCAGATCTGCTTTGCACCCTTTGTACTCTGTGACTCCTTCTGCTGTTCCCCCCGTGTAGCACTGAGATGTAAAGATAGCATGGTATTTGAAAGTGGCATGAAATAGGAATGAGTGTCTGTAAGCTCACTGACATATTTACAAGCAGCAGTTGAGATGTGGAAGTGGAGTTTAGTCATTAGGGATTGCTGTGTTTTGAGTGAAAGTATTTTAAAATATGATCAGTGCACATTTAAGGCAACTGAGCCAGTCAGGTCAAATAATACCTAGGATGAGACCATCAGTTTTCTTTGCAGACGTCCACTGGCTTTGATTTTACCCAGACGGTAAAAATATATTATCAAGAGAGTTGTTATGATAAAGGAAAATGTATCCTTTCTTTTCTCTTGGTGCCTCAGATCTGCAGGCTATTAAGAAATAGAAGTCTCTGCATTCAGACGGATAGGAGGCAGTGTATTTTTATCAGTGTTATACACGGTAGATATTTTACATTAAAACTGAAGTTGGCCGAGCGTGGTGGCTCAAGCCTGTAATCCCAGCACTTTGGGAGGCCGAGGCGGGTGGATCACGAGGTCAACAGATCAAGACCATCCTGGTCAACATGGTGAAACCCCGTCTCTACTAAAAAAAATACAAAAAAATTAGCTGGGCATGGTGGCGCATTCCTGTAATCCCAGCTACTCAGGAGGCTGAGGCAGGAGAATTGCCTGAACCCAGGAGGCGGAGGTTGCGGTGAGCTGAGATCGCGCCATTGCACTCCAGCCTGGGTAACAAGAGCAAAACTCTGTCTCAAAAAAAAAAAAACTGAAGTCACGGAGATTATTCAAATTCTTCATAAAAAATGAGTGTTTAGGCCGGGCATGGTTGCTCAAGCCTATAATCCCAGCACTTTGGGCGGCCGAGACAGGTGGATCACGAGGTCGAGAGATCGAGACCATCCTGGTCAACATGGTGAAACCCCGTCTCTACTAAAAATACAAAAAATTAGCTGGGCATGGTGGCGCGTGCCTGTAATCCCAGCTACTCAGGAGGCTGAGGCAGGAGAATTGCCTGAACCCAGGAGGCAGAGGTTGCGGTGAGCTGACATTGTGCCATTGCACTCCAGCCTGGGTAACAAGAGCGAAACTCTGTCTCAAAAAAAAAAAAAAAAAAAAAAAAGAGTGTTTATTTGAACATTGTTAACACTGTGATGAAGTGTCATTGACAAAGCAGCCCTAAGCATTCGCTCTGTCAGCTCCTGGCTTCAGACTATTCATGAGGTACATCAGTTGTTTCTTGCCTGCTTGTGGAATATTAATACATTTTAGGAAATGTAATGGTTTATTAACTATGTCACTGTTTCGTGGTGACGTTGAATGTTTGTTCTCTGGTGTCACAAGGCAGTATACGTGTGCAAACACTAGCTTGTAAAAGGGGACAAAATTATTTGTTTCTCTGCTACCCTCACCTGTAGCAGTTTTAGTTGAAAACCTTTCATTTACCCTTTAGAGTTTATTTTCTGTCCATATAACTGAAAATCATCGCTTGTTAAGGAAGAGATAGATGTACGATGTCAAAGGCAGATGGCAGGCTTTGGGGTTACCGTCATTGTTACTGTAATTGTCTGTTTATTCCAAAACATTTACCTTTTATTAAGACCTTATTTTTTAGAGCCGTTTCAGAAGATTTACTTTTTATGAGTTTTTATTAATATTTGCATGTGGTTGACAAATCATTACTGTGATTAGAACCAAGATCTGGTTCATTCATACCCAGAGACAAACTCTTTTAAACAATTCTTGCTTAGTTCTTTTGTATTTCTCTCTATTATTACTAAGAATTATGGCAGTAACTCTAGATAATATATAAATCCTTATATATCTGCTTCCAAATTTATCACCTTTAGATAATGTCATTGCCTCTTTACCATAAAAGATGAGGAATTCACTCATGTATGTTATCTTCTTCCTTCCTCCTCTTCCCAGTCCTTGATAGCTGTATTTCAGTTCATAGTTTGTATTCCTTTTTGGTTATTCCAGTGATTTCCATCGTGGAATTCAGGGGTAAGAATTATCTGTCCTCAGAAGGGCATTGGTCTGTTGGTTTCTAGTAGCCAGGGCTGGGTGGGAAGTTGAGGTCAGTTGATTCTCTTTTCTCTATAGATGACTTTGCAGTGATCCTCTAGGAGCTTTTGGAATATTCCAGTTATCCCGCAGTGTTTGAAATTCAAGATGGAAAGACTTGATCTGGATCTTTTTTCATTAATTGAGCTCTGCTCACTCTGTGACCCTTTTCAATATGAAGACGTAGGTCCTTTGTAGCTCTTTGAAGTTTTCTTTTATTATTCTTTGACCACATCCCCCTTGTGTTTTCTTTGCTTTTCTGTCTGGAACTTACATTGGCCACAGATGGCTCTTCAACAACATTTTTGGAGTAGCTACTTTATGCCAGGCATTGTCACCTTCTAGAGGTCAGTAGGACACGAGGGCTGAGGCAAAGCTTGCCCTTGAGAATTTGAATTTATTCCAAAATTGTGTATAGAATCAGAATGAAGAACAGTAGCGTTCTTTAAAAAAAAATGGAACCCAGAAAAAGCATACTAAAATGAACAGACATAATTTATGTTGTCTTATTGATGTTTATCTTTTTTTTTTTTTTTGACAGTCTTGCCCTTGTCTCCCATGCTGGAGTGCAATGGTACAGTCTCGGCTCACTGCATCCTCTGCCTCCTGAGTTCAAGCAATTCTCCTGCCTCAGCCTCCTGAGTAGCTGGGATTATGGGTGCCCGCCACCACACCTGGTTAATTTTGAATTTTTAGTAGAGACGGGGTTTCACCACATTGGCCAGGCTGGTCTCAAACTCCTGACCTCAGGTGATTCCTCCTACCCCTAGCCTTGGCCTCCCAAAATGCTGGGATCACAGGCATGAGGCACTGCTACTGGCTGCTGCTTATGTTTTACTTACTTTTATTGTTATTCACTGTTTGTATTTAACTTAATAACTTTTAATTACTCACCTTGAAGTCGTTCCAATAAGGACACACAGAATGTTTTTATTTCAGCAGCACTACCGAGCCTGACGTTGAGTCTAGTCATCTAAATAATTCAACATGATCCCTGAAGGAAAAATATTCTGAGCATCACTTACAGTTTCATTGCAAGCAATAGAAACCGATTTTGCCTTGGGGAGAAAAAAAGACTTATTTGGGAGAATTAAAGAAAGATGTAACAATCAGGTTGCCAGAAGGCCGGGTATTAGGACAGCTCTGGTCATTTCCAAGGTAGGAATAAATAGCAGGTCTCTTCAGAGTACTGACACTAGAAAGATCCTCCTCTAAATGTTTTTGTGAATTGTGACATTTTGCTTCAGGTTCAGGTTACAAGGAGAAGGCCGTTGCCTTAGCTTGACTCACATGCTCACTTTTTAGGTGGAGATGGGAACTTAGTGGACCGTTCCATGATGAGCATGAAGACGAATGGGAGTAGTTCCCAAGGGGAAAAACAGCTCTATCATCAAAAAAACAGTTAAGAATGACAAGTATCCACTCTGCTGTGTACGGATGAGCAGTGTTCAATTCTAACTGTCTTGTTCCCTTTTGGTCCTAGTGCTGCCTCCTGTGCTTGTACCAAGACACAGTGAATATAACCCCCAGCTCAGCCTCCTGGCCAAGTTCCGCAGCGCCTCCCTGCACAGTGAGCCACTCATGCCACACAACGCCACCTATCCTGACTCTTTCCAGCAGCCTCCGTGCTCTGCACTGCCTCCCTCTCCCAGCCACGCGTTCTCGCAGTCCCCGTGCATGGCCAGCTACCCTCACTCCCCGGGAAGTCCTTCTGAGCCAGAGAGTCCGTATCAGCATTCAGGTCAGTAAGAACTATGGTCTGTGGGGCAATATGGGAAAATAGACCCAACGTGATGATTTATGATGGACAGTCACAATGACAGTCATTGGAACTGTCATTCATATAGTGTCAACAGTTTACAAAGCAATCACCCCTAAAATGATTAGGGCTATACCCATTTTGAGGCAGTTACCTTGGAGATACAGCATGTTTTTGCTATGAAAGCTCTGAAAGCTCTCAGAAACTAAATGGATTTGAATAGTATCCCTGGGAATTTCCAAGGAGTTTTTTAAGGCAGTAGAAATAAGATTAAAAGACTTCTTTAATCTAGGCAGAAGACTTGGCCTGAGGACAAGCAACATGGAAGAGCAATCCTAAGCCTCTACCTTGGTTACCTCTTTCAACAATCAAAGGAAGTCCTTGCCTAAAACATATGCCTGCATCCCTTGAGTGAAGCAGAGAGTGAAGCTGCAGCTTTAGCCAATACATTCTCCCTTTCTGCCCTGTGAAGCCAGGACAGCATTTTAAATATAGAGCTCTTCAGTTTACTGAATTGAGAGAGCGTATGAAATGGAAGGGGAGCCTCTAGCATGCTGTCATGATTGCACTTGCGGCCATACCTGTAAAGTGGATCTAAGTTGAGATAATGAATAAAAGATACGTATGTACCTCATGAGTGTGAGACAAATCTTATGCGGAGCTGACAAGTTCCTAAAGGCATGCATAAATATATTTGGTGCCAGATGTTACAGTCTGCCTCATTTATTTATTCCTGTAATCTTTTATTTAACAGCTATTTATTAAAATCTTACTACATGCAAGCATTGCCTTAGGATTGCTGAAAGAGGCATTAACGGGTTAATAAAAACTGTCTGTGTCCTCACAGAGCTTATAAAATGTGGGAAGATAAAGAGGGAATTGCCTTTTCCCCTCTGAGTTACTTAGTTCCTTTTGCCCCTCAGCAAGTTACGAAGCATCTACTATAACATTTATTGTACTATGTTGTATAATTCCTGTGTGGTCTATTTTTTCCATTAGACAGTGAGTCTTCTTTTTTCTATGCCTAGCACAGAGCCTGAAATGCTGTGGTTGCTCATCAGTTGCTTATTGAATAAATTCCCACACAAGCATTTATTTATTTTTATTTATTTATCTATTTATTTTTGAGACGAGGTCTCACTCTGGCACCTAGGTTGGAGTGCAGTGGCATGATCATGGCTCACTGCAGCCTCTGCCTCCCGGGTTCAAGCAATTCTTCCATCTTGGTCTCCTGAGTAGCTGGGATTACAGGGGTGCGTCACCATGCCCGGCTAATTTTTGGATTTTTAGTAGAGACAGGGTGTCACCATGTTGGCCAGGCTGGTCTCAGACTCCTTATCTCAGGTGATCTACCCGCCTCGGCCTCCCTAAATGCTGGGATTACAGGCGTGAGCCAAGGCTCCCAGCCCACACAGGCATTTAGAACCTGGACATGGAGCTCCGGAGCATAGGCACAGGTTTTATGGACCCAGTAAGTGATGACTGAGCAACTGCTAAGTATCTGGCACTGGGCCAGTGCTGGAGGTGCAATGATGATGAAAACAATGTAGTTGTCCCCCCTTATCTGAGGTTTCAGTTACCTGAGGTCAGCTGCAGCCTGAAAATATTAAATGGAAAATTCCAGAAATAATTCATAAATTTTAAATTGTATGTGGGGATGAAATCTTGTGCCATCCTGCTCAGTTCTGTATCGTCCCTTTGCCCAGTTTATGCCATAGACACTGTCCACCTGTGAGTCAATTAGTAGCTGTCTCTATGTATTGAGGCATTACAGTGCTTATGTTCAGGTCACTCTGATCTAATAGTGACCACAAAGAGCAAGAGTAGTGATGCTGGCAGTGTTCTAATTGTTTGACTTGATTCCTAGTTAATCTCTTACTGTGTTTAATTTATAAATTAAACATCGTAAGTATGTATGTATAGGAAAAAGCATAGTATATATGGTATTCTATACCATCCACAGTTTCAGGTATCCCCTGGGGGTCTCGGACTGGATCTCTGGTGGAGAAGAAAGGACTGCTGTGGTCTCTTACCTTCAGGAGGCAGTAGCTATTGAGAGCAATCACATACAGGTAGCCTATAGCAGTCCAGGCAAGTGATTATAAGGACTTGAACTAAAACAGGGATGTGGGCTTGGAAAGAGGGCAGTGAGTTAGAGGAGGTCCCCCTCTAATTCAACAGTACTTACTGTGGGGTGAAGGCAGAGATGCTGGAGGGTAGCTTGAGAGTTGTTCACTCAGTGTGGGAGCAGATGGTTCAAGTTTTGCAAGTGGCTGACTTCACTAAGAAGAAATACAGCAGAAAGAGAAGTCATTTGAGGACAGAGCCTTGGTGAAGGGACAGGAGGATAATTATGTTGCAAAATATATATTTACATAGCACACCTCTGTGCTACAAAGACTTCCTGTGCTGACTTTGAATTCCTGCCCTGGTTACTCTGACAGGTTGATATTCTTTTTCCTCTTCCCACCCATGCAGGACAGACCCCAACAATGATGCAGAAGCTGGTTAGTTTCTCACTGAAGGCATAGCCCTTTTCATTTCAAAGAAAATAATTCTTGTCTGAATGATTAACAGCAAAATGCCAACCTGAATAACAGACCCATAGATAAACAAGAATAAAAGGAACTTTTGAGATATACTGGTTCAGCCTCTAAATTTTTTTAAAAAGCTCGATTGAGGTATAATTCACATACCATACAACTACCCATTTCAAGTGTATAGTTCCATGGTTTTTCAATGTTAAATTTTTTCAAGTAGTGGTGAAATATGTCTAACACAGAATTTGCCATTTTAACCATTTTTAAGAATACAACCTGGCCGGGTGAAGTGGCTCACACCTGTAATTCCAGCACTTCGGGAGGCTTAGACAGGTGGATCACTTGAGGTCAGCAGTCCAAGCCCAGCCTGGTCAACATGGCGAAACTCTGTCTCTACTAAAAATACAAAACTTAGCTGGGTATGATGGCGCACGTCTGTAATTCCAGCTGCTCAGGAGGCTAAGCCTTCTAAGCACTGGAACCCAGGAGTCAGAGGCTGAGGTGAGCTGAGATTGTGCCACTGCACTCTAGCCTGGGTGAGGGGGTGAGATCCTGTTTCAAAAAAAAAAAAAAACAAAAAGTGCAATCCGATGGCATTAGATGCATTCATAATGTTGTGCAACCATCAGCACTACCTATTTTCAAAAAGTTTCCATCACCCTAAACAGAGACTCCGTATTGATTAGGCAGTAGCTTCCCATTTGCCCACTTCCCCAGCCCCTGGTCATCTAATCTACTTTCAGTCTCTATGAATTTGCCTATTGCAGGTGCCTCATATACCAAGTTCATACAATATTTGCCCTTCTGTGTCTGTGTTATTTCACTTAGCAAAGTGTTTTCACAGTTTGTGTAGTGGCATACAGCAGTAGTTCATTGTCGTGACTGAATGATATCTGTTTGTATGGCTAAACCACATTTAAAAAAATCAATTCACTGGATTTTTGGATTATTCCCACCATTCGGCTCTAGTAAATAACACTCTGCTTTCAATTACTTTGGGTATTTACCGAGGAGTGGAAGTGCTATAGCATATAGTAATTCTATTTTCAGTCCCCCTTTTTTTACTTTTAATTTTTTAGAGACAGGGTCTCGTTTTGTTATCCAGGCTGGAGTATGGTGGTACAGTCATAGCTCACTGTAATTTCAAACTCCTGGGTTCAAGTGATTCTCCCACCTCAGCCTCTGAGTAGCTAGGATTACAGGTCCACATCACCATCCCCAGCCAATTTTTAATTTTTTTTTTTTTGTAGGACGGGGTCTCATCATGCTGCCCAGGCTGGTCTCAAACTTCTGGACTCAAGTGTTTCTCCCACTTCAGCCTCCCAAAGTGCTAAGACTATAGGTGTGAGCCACGGTACTTAGCGTGTTCTGCCCCTTGAGTAAATAGACATACTTAGTCAAAGACCTGCAAAAAGGCCATCTTGCTTTATAACTTTTCACCAGAGTGATAGGAGTCATAGTCCATTTTCTCACAAGGACATAGCTTATTCATGGTTTCCTAGTATGGTCCATGAACCCCTGCATTAGAATTGCCATCGGGGCATGTTAAAATGTCCATGGCTACATTTAACCACTGACCTGTTGAATCAGAATTGCTAAGGATGGGGCCAGGAATCTACATTTTTAGCAAGCCCCACTGGCAATTTTTGTGCACACTTAAGTGTGAGAACTACTTGTATGGACAACTTGATACAACAAAGGAAGATCGATCCAACGTTTTTGCCGTTGTATTCTGCCACGGATGTAACAAAACCATTCTGAGCTGACATTAGACAAGAATGCTGACAGAATCAGTTGTTTTGTACTGAGGTCCTCCATAAAGAGTTTTCTCAGGAGTTTTTATTGTGTTATGAATTACTTCCTGATAAGTTATTATCCACGGAATGCATCCCATTTGCCTAAACATGATCACTGCCCAGTCACAGAACTGCCATTTGAGTAGAAGGGCCCTTCTCAGCCTGAGTTGGGCACAAAGTTATAATCACGTTTCAGCTACTCTGTGTTTTGGGGAAATATCCTGAAGTATCTCAGGGATAGAGCATCCCCGTGGCCATTGTACAATTCATGGCAACATAGAAGCTGAAAATTAGGCTCATTTCAGAGAAGGTTTAGTTTTCTCTGTGGTTTGCAAGCCAGATCACAGACTATTCTGCTATAAGGAAAGTTGGGAGAAGAGGTCTTGCATTTCAAAGTCTTGCCATGAAGTCATTAGAAATCAAAGATATAACTCAAAAGTCAGAGGAAAAATGAACTGACCCTTTAGTGAGGCTCTCAGAACAACGTTTCTTTCATAGGGCACTCACAATGTCACTTCAGGAGAGCCTTGTTACATTAACATGGTCTCTCTGTAGGAGTAGCACTGTTCACCAAGCCCAGGAGTTTAATGGCAAAAGATGTCAGATCCAGCTGTCTTTGTGTGGTTTACTGATTTGACAATTCCTTTGTTCTACTGCTTTCTTTTAGTTGACACACCACCCCTGCCTTATCATGCCACAGAAGCCTCTGAGACCCAGAGTGGCCAACCTGTAGATGCCACAGCTGATAGACATTTAGTGCTATCGATACCAAATGGAGGTAAATTGTAGATGAACAGTGAAATGTAGCTATTTTCCAAAGTATTTCCTATTAACCCCAAACAAAGCAACTCAAAAAACAAAACCAGAAATGTATTGATTGGCCTGCTGTTTGGCGTGTGTTTTAAGAGGCAAATGGCATGGCTTTGTGTTTTTCTTTCACCTGGGTACAGGTGGGCTGAGGCCAGAAAGGACGTCAGCCTTTTTTTAATTTTGATTTTTTCATGGCTTTGCATTTTAACTTTGACATTCCTCAGTACCGCAGAATTAATGTTTTATCATCTTCATTACCAGAATAAGTTAACTTTTTATTTTAACTTCACATTTAGAAGTTCATAGTTCTTTTTTTTTTTTTTTTTTTTTCTTTGAGACAGAGTCTCACTCTGTCACTGGGCTGGAGTACAGTGGCAAGATCTCCACTCACTGCAACCTCCTCCTCCTGGGTTCAACTGATTCTCCTGCCTCAGCCTCCTGGGTTGCTGGGACTACAGGCGTGCAACACCACGCTCAGCTACTTTTTTGTATTTTTAGTAGAGACAGGGTTTCGCCATTGTTGGGCAGGATGGTCTCGATCTCTTGACCTCGTGATTTGCCTGCCTCAGCCTCCCAAAGTGCTGGGATTGTGTGAGCCATCGTGCCTGGTCAGAAGTTTGTAGTTCTTGATGTTTAGTATGGAATTGGGAACTCAAGAAGTTAGGGATTTTATTCTATTTGTGTTTTTACTCTATGCTTACAGTGGTGTCTTTCATTTGGCCAGAGAGGTACTCTTAGAAATATATGTAAATGGGGTTTTTACAAAATTTTATTTGCATCTTATAATAGTCTAGTGTTGCTTGACTTTAATGTTTGTGTAAACCACATTGTGATCTTGCATAAATGCACATTTTGATTCCTTAGATCTTAGGGTGGGGTCCAAGAATCTGTATTGTTAAGCTCCCATGTGATGCAGAGGCTCCTGTTCCATGAGCCACATCTTGAATAGAGAGGTTCTGAAGAAGCTTACCATTTGAAGTACTCCAAGTGAATATTTTTATAAGTTAAGATCCTTTTGTAAAAGAGATAATAACCCCCAAATTTATCCATTTCATAAATTTATATCTAGCGCATATAGGAACATATTCTAGATGCAAGAATGAGGAGGATCTTCGAGGAAGAGAAAGATAATCTGATAATGGACAGACAGAGACAGGGTGTGGATGGCAAAGGAAGAAGGAACTCTGAACTTTGGTTGGTTACAGGAAAGTGACTTAACTTTGGGTTGGGTGTGAAAATATTCATGGGTTTCCTAATGAGATATCCAGCTCTCTTTAAATGTGTTTTTGTCATGCATAACTAGATATTCCACAAAGCAGAATGTGAGCCCCTCTATGTGGAAGTTTTTTTCCCTTAAATAATTTAATGTCTTATTCAGCATTATTGATTTGCTTTTTTATCATAGCCAAACTGTTATTTTCCATCTCTAGTTTGTTGGAAAATGATACTTTTTGCCACAAGAATTCAAGAGGGTACAATCACAGCAACATGCCATCTCTCACATGTTTCTGAAAGAAGAGGTGCCCTGCCGGCTTCCTTTTAGCTGTGCTTGCTTTAGGGTTGACAGGTTTTTTTACGTCCATCTGTTCGTGTCATGTTTCCCTGGCCCCTTCATTACCAATACATATGTTTATAAATGCCCTAGCCTTGGAAGATGAACGAGGACCGTAGGCTGTACATCTCAGGTGGGCTGGTGAAATGAGCCAGCCCCAAGCAGCTCCATGAGAGCTACAGGTTCTAAAAGGTTGCAGAGCAGCATACTCGGTGTTGCAGCCGACTTTGTGGTTAAAAGCATTAACTAGGTTCCTGGTGAAATCATGAGCTACACAGCCCAGGTATGACAGTAGCCATGTGCTATCTGGTTTGTTTTCTTCCAGACTTTCGGCCAGTTTGTTATGAGGAGCCCCAGCACTGGTGCTCGGTCGCCTACTACGAACTGAACAACCGAGTTGGGGAGACATTCCAGGCTTCCTCCCGAAGCGTGCTCATAGATGGGTTCACCGACCCTTCAAATAACAGGAACAGATTCTGTCTTGGACTTCTTTCTAATGTCAACAGGAACTCAACAATAGAAAATACCAGGAGACACATAGGAAAGGGTAAGAGCAAAGATATCATTCCGTTAGTCATCTAGCTAAAATGTCCATGGTCATGTATGTAGAAATGCACCTGACCATCTTCGCATATCAGTCACGTGCCTCTGTGGAAGGGCCCCAGTGCTGGTGAGCTCTGAGATAGCTCTGACATTACCGTGGGGGAAAGCACATGGGTTATCAGGATCTTAGTCCCTTTGCCTCTAAAGTCATCATGCCACCTTCTAGGGGTGGATGGCATGGAGTGGGCATGGTGAAGACAAGCAAGATGATAACTATGAAGAAAGCAGGGTGAAATTATTGAATAGAAGTACTATGCATTATTTTTGATTTGCCTAAAACTTGCAAACTAGGATCATATCTGAAGAAGAGGAATTCTGACTGGATGATGATTTGTATCAGGTAAAGTTCCCTTTGGAGGCTTAGCAGCTAGGTAGTTAGAAAGAATGACTGATTTATGTCTGGAAGCCTTTGGCATGTGATTGGGGTTCTCCTGTGTGCAGGTATAGAGCAGCGGATTGGGCACAAGTCACACTGGTCTCTGTTCTGATCAGCGATGCTTTTGAAGCCCATCTCATTGGTGTGAGTGTTGGTAGCAAATCTCAGCTAAGTGTGTGGTCTGGCTGAGGATCTTTAAATCATTTTTTTTTATATCGGAATAGTTGGTATCTCAGAGTGATACCATGGAGTCCCCCAGATGTAGAGAACCTTCAGTCGTTTGACCTTTTCTCTCTCCATCCAGCACTTAAACCACCTCAGGAAAGTAGCCCGAGCCTTTTCTTTCCAATTTCCGGGGGAGACTCGTTGTTTCCTTTGGTGACGCATTGTAACATTCTTCCTAACGCACCTTCAAAGTGTCTCCTGTTGGAGTAAACCTAAAAGCCATTGTTTAGAAACAGGCTGAGATTGTTCAGTGATGTTGACTCTTAATGGAGACAGTTACTTTATGTTTATTTATATTCTGTCTCCATAGTGGCTTTGAGGCAACTTACAAGAAACCATTGCAGTGAAATGTTAAAAGAAAAATAGAAAATCAGAAATGGGGGTTGGGGGAGGGGAGAAGAATCCAGATATGTCATCCATAAAGGTGAACACCGTTACCCAAGCTAAGCAGGGTTGGGCATGGTTAGTACCTGGATGGGAGAATGCCTGTCCTCCTGGGAATGCAGCCCAGTAGGTCTTAGCCTTATTTTACCTAACCCCTATTCAAGATGGAGTTGCTCTGGTTCAAACAGCTTTGACACAGAGAGCTAGAGGAGATGGTGGTGATTTTGCTCTAGGTTTCCTGACAGGGAGGGAAGAATTGAAAAACTCACTCTGGAATGTAATTTTTATCCCAAAGTGGGAAACATAGCCATTCCTCAAAGGAAATAATACTTTGAATGAATTCCTAAACAAGTTTCTCGAGCATGCCTTTACTTTCAGATGATTTTTAGAACCTTTAGTGAACTCTCAGGACAAAACATTAACACATGGCGCTGTGAAGCAGTTTGCTGAGGGGCTTTGCAGCTTGGTCTGCATATTCGACATCTGCTGGTGCCAATGGATCCAAAGACAGGACTGAAATATCAAAGGAGCGCTGAATGCGTTTTAGGAACCTGTCTGCAAGTTGCTTCTTGAAGGTGCTTCTGCTGAGGACGTGGAGAATCTGTTAGTCTGTTTTTGTTGCTATAAAGGAATACCTAAGACTGGATAATTTATAAAGAAAAGAGGTTTATTTGCCTCGTGGTTCTGCATGTGCTTCTGGTGAGGGCTTTAGGAAGCTTCTAATCACTGTGTAAGGCAAGGGAGAGCCTGTGAACCTGGGAAGAGATAGAGAGAGAAGGGAGGGAGGGGCTGGGCTCTTTTTAGCAAACAGATCTGGCAGGAACTAATAGAATGAGAATTCGCTTATGATCTTGAGGAGGGCACCAAGCAGATCATGAGGGATCCTCCTGCACAGCCCAGACACCTCCCACCGAGCCCTGCCTCCAGAATTGGGCATCAGATTTAGATGTGAGATTTGGAGGAGTCAGATATCCCAGTTATATCAGTAGCTGCTGCGTTGTTAACTGAGCTCACCCTTAGGGTTAAGAAGCCACATGAGCAAAAGCCGGGACTGTTCCCCGGCTTTGATGACCTGTTCCCCAAACTGGAGCACCTAATAGTGCTCCCCTTGATTCAAGGGTACTCATGGTCACATGGTCCCAAGGCAAAGTTACAGTTTTCTCAGAGCTGCTTAGAAATTACTCCAGCGTGAAAAAAAAAAAAATTTCTTAGACAAGCTACAAGTTTTGCCATAAAGCCTGGCAGGGTAACAAGTGTTGGCTTGGGAGATTTTAAAGCAAGGGCAGTCTTTCTTCTGTGAGATCACAGGAGTCTCTCTCGGATGCTGCCACGGGTTATCTGGTTCTGAGCAACATGGCTTCCCGGAGCACCGGCCTGAATAAGTTAGCTGCAAAATGCACTCCTAGGCTATCGAATGAGTTAACTTGCTCTGTGGAATTAATTAATAGACATTAGATTTTAGTGATATGCATTCATCTCACAAATATTTACTGAGCACTGACTCTCAGCCAGACTGGACACTGGGATACAGCAGTGGAAAAAAGACAGCACCCAGATTTCGTGGATTACTTGTTGCTAGGGGAAAGGCAGACAAGAAATACAACATGGAGTATGTCCAATAGAGAGACGCAAAGCAGGGGAAGAGAGTGGAGACTTTAAACCTGTGTAACCAGGGAAGGCCTTCCTGGGAAAGTGACATTTCAGCACACGTTACCAGAAAGGTGTCCGGATCCAGACCCCAAGAGAAACTTCTTGGACCTCACACAAGAAAGAATTGGGGGTGAATCCATAGTACACTGAAAGCAAGTTCATTAAAGAAGTAAAGAAATAGAAGAATGGCCACTCCACAGGCAGAGACGCTGCATGGGCTGCTCCACTGGTAATACTTACAATTATTTCTTGATTATATGCTAAACAAAGGGTGGATTTTTCATGAGTTTCCTGGGAAAGGGATGGAGATTTCCGGAACTGAGGGTTCATTCCCTTTTTAGACCTTATAGGGTAACTTCTGGGCATGGCCATGGCATCTGTCAACTGTCATGCTGGTGGTGGGAGTGTCTTTTAGCATGCAAATGCATTATAATTATCATATAGTGAGCAGTGAGGATGACCAGCGGTCACTTTCATCAGCATCTTGGTTTTGGTGCATTTTGGCTGGCTTCTTTACAGCATTCTGTTTTGCCATCAGGGTCTTTGTGACCTGTATCTTGTGCCAACCTCCTATGTTACCCTGAGACTTAGAATGCCCAGCGTCCTAGGAATGCAGCTCAGTAGCTCTCCCCCTTAAGGCCATTTTAAGGGCTTTGGTTTATGCTCTGTGGGAAATGGGAAGGTAGATTTAGGTTGAGGAGTTTATGTTGTAAGCCAAAAAGTATCTGAGACAAGTCTCAATCAATTTATTTATTTTTATTTTATTTTATTTTATTTTATTTTTGAGACGGAGTTTTGCTCTTTTTGCCTAGGCTGGAGGTCAATGGCACAATCTTCTCACTACAGCCTCTGCCTCTCAGGTTCAATTGATTCTCCTTCCTCAGCCTCCTGAGTAGCTGGGATTACAGGTGCCCACCACACACCCAGCTAATTTTTGTATTTTTAGTAGGGACAGAGTTTCACCATGTTAGCCAGGCTGGTCTCGGACTCCTGATCTGCCTACCTTTGCCTCCCAAAGTGTTAGGATTACAGTATGAGCCACTGCACCCAGTAGTGGTCTCAATCAATTCAGAAAGTTTATTTTGCAAGGTTAAGGATATGCCAGTGACGTGGCCTCAGGAGGTCCTGGTGGCATGAGCCTAAGGTGGCCGGGCTATACCTTGCTTTTATACATTTCAGAGAGACATAATACATCAGTCAAGGCATGTAAGGTTGACATTGGTTTGATCTGGAAGGGTGGAACTGCTTAAAGGAGGGGTTGGCTTCCAGGTCATAGGTAGATTTAAACATTCTGATTGGTGATTGGCTGAAAGAGTTATTATCAATAGAAAGGAATGTCTGGATTTCATAAGGGGTTGTGGAGACCTAGGTTTTATCATGCAGATGAAGCCCCCCAGGTAGCGGGCTTTAGAGAAAGTAGCCTGTAAATGTTCTTTATCAGACTCCGGCTCTGCGTTGATGTTTAGGCTGAAAAGATATAATGAGGCATGTCCAACCCCCACTTTCCGTCACGGCCTGAACCAGTCTTTCAGGTTAAATTTTAGAGCACCCTGGCTGAGGTGGGGATCCATTCAACTGGTTGTGGGGCCGTACAATTTTATTTTTGGTTTACAACATGATCTGAGTTTACACTTTGAAAAGATCCCCTAGCTGTTCTTTTGAGATTAATTAGACCGTGATGAGCAAGGATGGAAGACATCTTTTTTTTTTTTTTTTGAGATGGCAATCTTGCTCTGTCGCCCCGCTAGAGTGCAGTGGTGTGATCTAAGTTCACTGCAACCTCCGCCTCCTGGGTTCAAGTGATTCTCCTGTCTCAGCCTTCCAAGTAGCTGGGATTACAGGTGCATGCCACCATGCCTAGCTAATTTTTGTATTTTTAGTAGAGACAGTGTTTCACTATGTTGGCCAGGCTGGTCTCGAACTCCTGACCTCAGGTGATCCGTCTGCTTTCACCTCCCAAAGTGCTGGGATTATAGGTGTGAGCCACTGCACCTGGCCTGAAGACATCATTTAAAAAATTTTTTTAAATTATAGTTAATGTTGAAAACATGCACTTTGAATGAAGAGCCTCTCAGACAGGCTTTTTGTGAACAACATGGCTGTTTATTCACCTGGGTGCAGGTGGGCTGAGGCTGAAAAGGGCGTCAGTGAAGGGAAGTGGGATAGGAATTGGTTTTATAGGTTTGGGGCAAAGTTTTTGGGGAGGGGGCAGGGGTGTTATGGAGTAAGATCAGTTCCTGTAGTGGAGGTAGGGGCAAGGAATATACATTGCCATAAATTCAGTTACAGTGGCGGGTGGAGTAAGGCGT